CTTTCCCTTTCCCTTCCCTTCCCTTCCCCTCCCCACCCCACAGCAGACACCCTGTGAGGTAGGTGGGGCTGAGAGAGTTCTTTCGAGGACTGCTCCTGAGAAAACAGCTCTGAGAGAACTGTGACTGACCCAAGGTCACGCCAGCAGCAGTGGGGACGCAAACCCGGTTCTCCCGGATTAGAGTCCACGCTCCTCCACTACACTAAACGGGCTCTACATGAACACAGGAATCTGCCTTCTACTGAATCAGACTCTCAGTTCATCAAAGTCAGTATTGTCTACTCAGACTGGCAGAAGTTCACCAGGGTCCCAGGCTGAGGTCTTTCCCATCACCTGCTGCCAGATCCTTTTAAGAGGAGATGCCGGGGATTGAACCAGGGACCTTCTGCATGCTCTCCCATTGAGCTACAAACTCTACATGAGCACATGAAGCTGCCTTATACAGATTCCATACCATTGGTCCATCGAGGTCATTATGTGGACTGGCAGTGGCTTTCCAAGGTCTCAGGCGGAGGTCTTTCACATTACCTCCTGCCTGGTCCTTTTGACTGGAGAGGCTGGGGATTGAACCTAGGACCTCCTGCGTGCCAAGGCAGAGGCTCTCCCACTGAGCCACGGCCCCTCTTTACAGCTCTCCAGGGTCTCAGGCAGAGGTCTTTCCCATCACCTCCTGCCTGGTCCTTTTGATTGGAGAGGCCGGGGATTGAACCTGGGACCTTCTGCATGCCAAGCAGAGGCTCTGCCACTGAGCCACAGCCCCTCTTTGCAGTTCTCTAGGGCCTCAGGCGGAGGTCTTTAAAATCACCTCCTCCCTAGTCCTTTTGACTGGGGAGGCTGGGGATTGAACCTTCTGTATGACAAGCAGATGCTCTTCCACTGAGCCACAGCCCCTCTTTACAGCTCTCCAGGGTCTCAGGCAGACATCTTTCCCACCCCCTACTGCCTGGTCTTTTTTAACTGGAGATGCCGGGGATTGAACCGGGGACCTTCTGCATGCCAAGCAGATGCACTTCCACTGAGCCACAGCCCCTCTTTACATCTCTCCAGGGTCTCAAGCAGAGGTCTTCCCATCCCCTACTGCCTGGTCTTTTTTAACTGGAGATGCCGGGGATTGAACCGGGGACCTTCTGCATGCCAAGCAGATGCACTTCCACTGAGCCACAGCCCCTCTTTACATCTCTCCAGGGTCTCAAGCAGAGGTCTTCCCATCCCCTACTGCCTGGTCTTTTTTAACTGGAGATGCCGGGGATTGAACCTGGGACCTTCTGCCTGCCAAACAGATGCTCTACCGCTGAGCCACAGCCCCTCTCCTACAATTTTTATTTCATTTAATTTTATTGATCAGATTTATACCCCACCAGACCATCGATCCATCAAGGTCGCTATTGTCTTCTCAGATTGGCAGTAACTCTCCAAGGTCTTTCCCATCACTTCCTGCCTGGTCCTTCTACCTGGAGACCAGACCCGGGACCTTCTGCCCGCAAGCCCACGGGTGTTCCTCTGAGCTGCAGCCCCTCCCCTGCAGGCCCATTTCCCTGGCACCAAATGCGACCTTTGCAGCGGTGCCAGGCCCACGCCCACAGCAAGCCTCCCGCTCTTGGCCTCTGTGTGTCTGTGTGTGTTTCAGGCATTCTTCACAAGAGGAGCTGGGAAATGCCTGTCATTTCTGGTGCTCTGCAGAGTGCGTAGGGCTGGCAGTGGAGGAGGCGGCTGAAAGGGATCTTTATCTTGTTGAGAGACGTGGACACAATTCTAGGAAAGGGAGAGAAAGTGAACCTGATTGTGGGTGGCGCCGGGCGGCTGCCGCCTTCAGCACAGGATCGGAGCCCCTTGGAGAGCCAGTTTGGTACGGTGGTTAGGACAGCAGACATTAATCTGGGAGGACTGGGTTTGATTCCCCGCTCCTCCACATGCAGCTGCTGGTGGGACCTTGGGTCAGTCACAAGTTCTCTCAGAGCTCTCTGAACCCCACCTATCTCACAGGGTGCCTGTTGTGGGGAGGGGAAGGGAAAGGAGATTGTAAACCGCTCTGAGACTCCTTTGGCTAGTGAAGGGCGGGGTATAAATCCAATCTCTTCCTCCTCCTCCGTCTTCATCTTCGTTGTGGTTCCTTGAGGCTTTGCCTAGGCTGCTGCTGGTGGAGATCTCCTGGCTTCGATGCTTTCCTGACGAGGCTGGCATTTTAAGATCTGAGTGTTTCTGCCATGGCAATCTGGACATGCAGGCATAAGAACATAAGAACATAAGAGTTCCTTGAGGCTTTGCCTAGGCTGCTGCTGGTGGAGATCTCCTGGCTTCGATGCTTTCCTGACGAGGCTGGCATTTTAAGATCTGAGTGTTTCTGCCATGGCAATCTGGACATGCAGGCATAAGAACATAAGAACATAAGAGACGCCAGTGTTGGATCAGGCCAGTGGCCCATCCAGTCCAACACTCTGTGTCACACTGTGGCCAGAAATACCAGGGGCCATCAGGAGGTCCACCAGTGGGGCCAGGACATTAGAAGCCCTCCCACTGTTGACCCCCCATGCACCAAGAATACAGAGCATCACTTGCTCCAGAGCCCCTATCTATACCTTGTGGCTAATAGCCACGGATGGACTTTTTATGGATCAAAAACTGGCTAATTAATAGAAAACAGAGAGTGAGTATAAATGGGCAATTTTCTCAGTGGAGGGTGGTAAGCAGTGGGGTACCGCAGGGTCCACTGCTTTTTAACTTGTTCATTAATGATTTGGAGTTGGGAGTAAGCAGTGAAGTGGCTAAATTTGCGGATAATACGAAGTTGTTCAGGGTGGTGAAAACGAGTGAGGATTGTGAGGCACTCCAAAGGGATCTGTCAAGGATGGGCAAGTGGGCGTCAACATGGCAAATGGGGTTCAATGTGGCCAAGTGCAAGGTGATGCACATTGGAGCCAAAAATCCTAAATATAAATACACATTGATGGGGTCTGAACTGGCAGAGACTGATCAAGAGAGAGATCTTGGAGTTGTAGTAGATAAATCACTGAAAATGTCGAGACAGTGTGTGACTGCAATAAAAAAGGCCAATGCTATGCTGGGGATTATCAGGAAGGGTATTGTAAATAGGTAAGCCCACTTGGGGGTACGTCTCTATAGGTGTTTAAGAAACACTGCAAATCTATTCTATTTTCCAGGGCTTTTCTGAGCTGCTCTGAACTATGGGAAAGGCACGGTATCGGTATTTATTAATATACTAGGGGCTCTGCCCGACTCCTTTCACTCACCAACCCCAGTGCTCCATGCATTCATAAAATCATAGAGATGGAAGGGACCTCCAGGGTCATCTAGTCCAACACTCTGCACAATGCAAAAGGGAATTAGATAGGCATATGGAGCAGAGGTCCATCAGTGGCTATTAGCCACAAGGTATAGATAGGGGCTCTGGGGCAAGGGATGCTCTGTCTTCTTGGTGCTCGGGGGGGGGGGTCAACAGTGGGAGGGCTTCTGGAGTCCTGGCCCCACTGCTGGTCCTCCTGATGGCCCCTGGTATTTCTGGCCACTGTGTGACACAGAGTGTTGGACTGGATGGGACTTTGGCCTGATCCAACATTGGCGTCTCTTATGTTCTTATGTTCTTATTGCCGGCATTTGGATGTTACATTTATGGCTGTGGTGGTTCAGAGGTTAAGATGCTGAGCTGCAGACCAGAAGGTCTGTAGTTTGGCATCTTGAGACCCCAGTGCTGCGTGACGGAGTGAGCTCCCGTCTCTTGCCCCGGCTCCTGCCAACCTAGCAGTTCGAAAGCAAGAAGGTGGGAAGGTAACAGCGCTCTGTGTGCCTTGGTGTTTAGTCATGCCGGCCACATGACCATGGAAATGTTTTCGGACAGCGCTGGCTCTTCGGTTTGGGAATGGAGATGAGCACTGCCCCCTAGAGTCGAATTCGACCGGCTTCCGAGCAAGGGCAACCTTTACCTTTAGCAGCAGACTAACATACTGCAGAGAGGCTGTCCTCGGCTCAGGCCCGGCTTTTCCGGAGTTCACTCTCTCCCGCTGGGCTTGGTGAGTCCGGTCAGCCTCAGAGTCCTGCTTTGGTTGGTTTCCTGCGGAATCGGAGGGTGTCGGCTGCAGGATGCACGCCACAGGCGGCTTCCTCCCCAGCACACGGTGAGCGGAGGGGGGGGGGAACAACCTTGGCTGGCATCGCTCTCTGTGACTACTGCAACCCACGTCGGGCGTCTTGGGTCCCCTGGCGGCCCAAAGGCAAGGCCTGTGGTCAAATCTGCAGAAGCCCAGAGTCTTCCCTGAAGTGATCCATTCCACACACAGCCAGGTGATGAATGGGTTGTGCCAATGAAGCCTTGGGCTGAATCAGACTAGGGGTCCTTTGAGGTCAGTCTTGTCTACTGAGACTGGCAGCCGCTCTCCAGGGTCTCAGGTCAAGGTCTGGCACGTCATGTGCTGTCAGATACTTTTAAGAGGAGGTGCAGAGGATTGAAGCTGGGACCTTCTGCATGCCAAGCAGAGGCTCTGCCATGGATCCAGGGCCCCTCCCCAACAAATGGACACACTGTCAGAGGTTTATGAGATCATGCATGGGATAGAGCAGGTAGAGAAAGAAGTCCTTTTCTCCCTTTCTCACCATACAAGAACTCCTTGTGGGCACTCCATGAAATTGCTGAGCAGTCGGGTTAGAACGGATAA